ATTAAATATTTATAAAGTCATATTTAATATAGCTATATTAATATACTTCACAATGAAATATTTATAGTTATATTTAATATAATTTCACTTAATATTGCATGCTTCACAATTATTGTGTTAACACACGTGTCGTATAAGAATTCATATTCATGCTCACAATCGAGTACGCCTAACTAGACCCCCTGGGCTCATCCGAGGATCCGCTGAAGACTGAGTGGGTAAATGAACTTATGTCATGTACACAGGGGGCATTCACAGGAACATAACCAATACTAACACCAGACACACACTAACACCATACACACATGTACAACATTGGGAATATATACAAACATATATATAAAGGCAAGGCTCCTCACACAAACAACACACCACTCGACCAACAGGAATATACACATACACAGAAACCACGACTCAACCAACCAACCCGAATATACACACACAAACCAAACCACCTGGTTGCATGCGTGTGTTACGATGGAGTTGCTCATTGTTACCTACCTCGCCCCAGTACGGCTGGCACACCTCCATGGCTAGCCTACTCAGCTGCACACACGCCTCGCGATTGGGACGCGTGCTGCTGTCCACACAGGTGGCCGTCAGAGGGTGTGCCGTATGTAGCACATGCACCGGGCGTGTCTCTGTGTTGTGTGTGAGCCTGTTGTCTGTGGTGACTAGCGTGCTCAGGGGTTTGATGAGGTCCAGGAGGGGTGTGTCTGGTGGTGCTGTGGAAGTGTGGCAGCTTAGAGACTTTCCTGTCGTCGATGATGCGGACGGTGTGTGACGCATGGCAGGCATAGCTGGGTATGGGAAATGGGAGGAGAAGGTGTCTTTGAGATTAATGAATAACATAGCTGGGTATGGGAAAGGGGAGGGGATTGTGTCTGTGAGGTTGATGAATAACATAGCTGGGTATAAGAAATGAGAGGAGAATGTGTCTGTGAGGTTAATGAATAATATAGTTGGGTATGGGAAATGGGAGGAGAATGTGTCTGTGAGGTTAATGAATAACATAGTTGGGTATGGGAAATGGGAGGAGAATGTGTCTGAGGTTAATGAATAATATAGTTGGGTATGGGAAATGGGAGGAGAAGGTGTCTGTGAGGATAATGAATAACATAGCTGGGTATGGGAAAGGGAAGGAGAAGGTGTCTGTGAGGTTAATGAATAACATAGCTGGGTATGGGAAATGGGAGGAGAATGTGCCTGTGAGATTAATGAATAACATAGCTGGGTATGGGAAATGTGAGGAGAATGTGTCTGTGAGCTTAATGAATAACATAACTGGGTATTGGAAATGGGCGGATAATGTGTCTGTGAGGATAATGAATAGCATAGCTGGGTATGGGAAATGGGAGGAGAAGGTGTCTGTGAGGATAATGAATAACATAGCTGGGTATGGGAAAGGGGAGGAGGTGTCTGTGAGGTTAATGAATAACATAGCTGGGTATGGGAAATGTGAGGAGAATGTGTCTGTGAGCTTAATGAATAACATAGCTGGGTATTGGAAATGGGCGGAGAATGTATCTGTGAGGTTAATGAATAGCATAGCTGGGTATGGGAAATGGGAGGAGAATGTGTCTGTGAGGTTAATGAATAACATAGCTGGGCATGAGAAATGGGAGGAGAATGTGCCTGTGAGCGTATCGAATAACTATCCTCCGGCGATATTGAATAGGCCTGCTTTGACATGTCATCGGCATAGGCCTACATGCGTGCCTCTTGCTCACACCCGTGGATCGACGGTCCTGACAGATCGTGTGTATATTAGTTCTGGTCCCGAAATATTGTAGGTAAATTAGTTCGGTGGCTAATGGGCTGTAGGTAAATTAGTTCGGTGGCTAATGGACAGTAGGTAAATTAGTTCGGTAGCTAATGGACTGTAGGTAAAATAGTTCTGTAGCTGATGGACTGTAGGTAAATTAGTTCTATGGCTAATGAACTGTAGGTAAATTCGTTCTGTGGCTAATGGACTGTGTGGCTAGTAGACTGTGAGTATATTAGTTCTGTGGGTAGTGTAGGTACGTCCGGCTTTTCTCTTTGATTGGTGATCAGTCTATACGTTAACAACCACACAAACGGCCAAACGCTTGTACAGAACACTTGTGTGTCGAGGGGTGTAACTGTGCTTTTGTCCACTTTGAAAACGTTTAAAAGGATTGCAGACCAGCACAGTCTTCACAAAGACATTGCATATGCGTACGTACTGCTACCTCGCACATCACATCCGATGGACCAACGTAACTGGAACAGTCAGTCGCTAAACTCACACGCCGATTTAGGGTTTAAGAAGTTTTGGGATTTGGGGGGTTTATAAATCAATGTTAGTTCGAGGTGCTATTAAAGAGCATCTAGAATGGGAGATCCACATATGCCACCCATACATACCACACTTTAAACCCCTAAAACCCTAAAACCACAGCACATCGCGCACCAACAGAACCACTACATCACACAACAACACACGAGTGCCAGGACACCCTCACGAGTGCCAGGACACCCTCACGAGTGCCAGGACACCTTCACGAGTGCCAGGACACCCTCACGAGTGCACACCACTCCACACGCGTACATGACACCCAGAGCCCCACATAAACGCAACCCTCCGTACCGTTCTTCACAGCTGTTGCAAACTCTCGTTGTTCTGAGCTCAGCGCCACAGACATCGCACTCTCGTGTCGGTCTGTGACATCTCCGACGCGTGGTTCTAGTTTATCGGCCGACGTAGCCATCTCCGTATCCACCCCACACCCCCCACTGTCCTCTAGACCTCTCCTGACAGCATGGGTTAGCTTGGGCTTGGCCACAGACTTCCGCTGCTTGCGCGCTGTGGCATGGACCGCAGACTTTGACGACTTTACAAGTGCGTCCGTAGAAAGTGACTTGTGCTTGGGTTTGGTATCAGTAGGCGCGGGCTTGTGCTGTGTATAACTGCTGTGGTTGGAGCCAGTAGTGGTTGCCATGGCAACCGGTTCACCGGCGCTGCTGGGCACCAAGGCAGGCGTCTTGGCAACGTCATCGGTAACCTTGGTAACCAGTTTATTGCCATGGCTTTTCTTACTGGGCTGAGTCTTGCGCTGCTTGCCTGGCTTCACCACCCCGCCCGAAGTGCTTCCTGTCTTCAGTTTCTTACTAACCATAGGCACCCCCTCCGAGCCTTTGCCATCCTTGGAGTGTACCGCTTTCGTCCCGCTTTCCCCCGTGAGCTTGACAGCAGGGGGTAGTTTTTTATCCGTGACGGTCTTCTTGCTCTCCTTCTCCGTCGCCTTCGCCTGCCCCTGCCCCTGGGTGGTCTTAGGTGTTGCCTTGGACCGTGCCTTGGCTTTCTTCGTCGTTGTAGACTCCAGTACCTGCACTCCCTTGGGCACCTGAATCTCCCCCACGCCATCCTCCGTGAACAAGACATCTCGCACATTCGGTGCCACTCTCAGCTCGGCCAACCCCGCCACCCCGTCCCCTGCTGCATCCGTGTCTCGCTGTGCCAGTGTGTGGGCTGGCGTGTGCGTGGCACTCACTTGCTTCTGTATCTGATGCAGCTGCTGTGCGCGCTGGTCAAATTTCTTCCACGGCATCACCTCGGCCTCAGACTCTGACGAGCCCTCCAACTCCGACACCTCCTGGTTGCCATGGCGACCACGCGGGGGCTCCTCTCCCGCTACACCCCCACCATCCTGAGGCGCGTCAGTCCCTTTTGTTGGCCGTGGGTGGGTCAGTGGCAGGTCATGCAAGTGCAGTGCTTGTGCCAAAGGCTGTGTGTGTGTGTGAGACGTGCGCTGGTGCTGGTGCTGGTGCTGGTGTTGTGGTTGTTGCTGTGGTTGTTGCTGTGGTTGTTGCTGTGTTCGTTGTTGTAGTTGTTGCCCTGTGGTTTTGCATTCCTTCACAAAAAACGTGTCTGGCGGTGGTTGCACCACTGTGTGCGGTGCGTTTGGCTGCAGGTGTGCCTGTGCTATCTGTGGCGACGAGACACGCTTCTCTGCTGACACAGGTTTTGTGGTTTTTCGGGTTGGTTGTGAGGGTTTTCGGGTTGGCTGTGAGGGTTTTCGGGTTGATTGTGTGGTTTTTCGGGTTGGTTGCGATGGTTTTCGGGTTGGTTGTGAGGTTTTTCGGGTTGGCTGTGAGGGTTTTCGGGTTGGTTGTGAGCTTGTCCCGGTTGGCTGTGAGCTTGTTCGGCTTGGCTGATAGGTTGGTGCTACTGCAGGCTGCCTGACTTCCAATACACCAGGGGCCACGCTATCTGTATGGGTGGGCAGGTGTGCCGCAGACGTCCCTGTCGCCTGCGTGCGCTCGTGCGTGGGTGCCTGCAGCGTGGTGTGCGATGGAGTGCCTTGCAGCGTACCTAGTTCTGCATGCGTGTCCCCTTTTCTCCGTGTGCCCAGTGGAGAGTGTTCTGTGTGCTGCTGTCTCAGTGCGTCCATGTCCATGTCCATGTCTCTACCACTGCCTGGTCCCTCTGCCCCTGTGCCATACCCAGTCCCTCTCTTGTTCTGTCCTGGCCCTGACTCAGTACTCTCGGGTGCACTCCTGCCCTTACCCCGTCCGTGCAGGTTATTGGGCACATTCACCTCCTCGCGGTCGGCTCTCCCAAGCGCAACGGGCGATGGAGGGTCTGTTCTAGGCAGTGCCTGGGGTGTGCTGCGGTGTGTCCCGGTATTCCGTGCTTGCTGTATACCGGTACCACCCGGCTGTCTCCAGGAGACTGGCATACCCAGCCCATCGCCTGCACCCAGGTCATCTCGGTCCTGGGCGCTGAGGAAGTCACCGCCACCTCCTCTGAACGAGTCCATGAACACGCCCTGTCCACTGCCACTCGGCTGCCCCACAGAGCCGTACGCAGGCGCATACGCCGACATGCGCAGATGCTCTGAAGTGGTGTGTGCGTACATGCTATGTGGGTCTGCCGTGTGTGCGTGTGCGTGTGCGTGGAGGTCGCGTAGTCCTCCTGCGGGTGCTGGTGTGTAGTCTGAGTTCATCCGCGCGTAGTTTGTGTTTGCGGGCGGGTCGTACTCGCGGGCGTCGACGGGCGTGCGCACGCTTCCTTTCCGCTGTTTTGATTGGCTGCTGTATTTCTTTGCGAGCAGTTGATTGGCTCTCTCACCCGGTGCCCGGGCCCCCATTCCCTTGGCCGTACTGGCGTTCTTATGGCTACGCACAGGCAGATGAGGTAGCCTGACCGTTTTAGTTTCACCCGCTGGTGCAGGGGCATCTGGATGGGAGTATTGGGCCGACAGTAAACGTCCCGAGGCAGAAGGGTGAGGCGTCCCTTGACTAGCGTTGGGTATCGCTTGCCTGGGGTCAGCCACGGCGTGGCTTACAGAGGCGAGGGTATACGCCTGTGTGTGTGCATGTGCTTGTGCTTGTGCCTGTGGAGCCACTTGTCGGTGTTGTGTGGGCCGTGCCTGGTTGTAGACCGTCTTCTCGGCGTTCAGTGGCACGTATGCTCGAGAGCCTGGCACACCCTCTCGCAGATTGGGCGACGACACACTCGCCCGCCGCTCACCGGGCGACAGCTCTCCCGCACCCTCCAAATGGGACCCAGGTGCATAGATCTGGGCCCCGTTGCCCCTCAGGCGCACATCCTCACTACTCAACATGCGGCTGTGGCCGTTTAATTGACCCATTTGCCCCATATTAGCCCCTCCCCCAGAGTGCGGTTGCCCGGTCTCTTCCCGTCGCCTGGGCAGGGCATATGGGTGTGGGAGGGGTTTGTATGGCCATTCCGCCTGTGTGCGCCGTTCGCTGGCCTCGTGGTCGTTCTCGTGTTGGTTGGTGTACTGGCTATGTGCTTGTTGTACGTAGTACAGGTGTTGCTGTTGCTGCTGCTGTTGTTGTTGTTGCTGGTTGTGGTTCTGGCTGTGTGCCTTTCTAGGTTGTATGGTCCTATTCTGCCCCGCTGCACCCATGCGGTACCCTCCTACGTACGGGGAGTTCTCACTGCCCCTGGGTGCATATCCCATTGGCCCGTTCATCTGCTCGGCGTGGTTGTACCTATTTGCTGGCGTGTCTCGCTCTCGCGTATATCTGTCCGCGTCATGCGTACCATAACCTTGTACCCCTTCGCCGGCTCGAGTCCTCTCACTCCCATGCCCCTTGTGGTCTACACTCCGAGTGCGTGCGTGTGCGTGTGCGTGTGGGCTGTAGTCGGGTTGCGTGCCGGTGTAGCGGTTGTTGTATGTGTTCACATTAGGGGCTGTGACGCTTCTGCCACTCACACTCAGCTCAGACAGGGTCATGAGGACATCCTGCGTCTCTATTTTGCGCTGCTCCTGATCAGCAGCCGCCAGGGCATACTCCTGTGCACGTGGCAGTGGCTGTCTGTCATCGGGCACCATCTGTGTACGAGAGGGTCTGATATCTGACAACCCCTGCACACGCGACTGCCTGTAGGGCGCCGCTTCTCTCGTCTCCGCGCCCACATGCGCGTACGATTGTCGGCTGCTGTCCGCCAATGTCTGCGCGTGCGGCTGTCGGTGGTCCGACATAGCCTGCGCGCGTAGTTGCGCCTGCCCCTCCTGGTCCACTCCACTATACACATGCGGCCTGTAGCCTCCCCCGCCCTTGGCCCCACTGGGGCGCTCTCGCTTGGCGCTACCTTTGCCTGGGCCGCCGTATCCGTTGGGGGGTAGGTGGTGGTTGTTGAGCAGCATGTTGTTGGTGATTGGCTCCATCACCCTGCTGTTGCCGGTGTCTGAATCTGCTCCGTCCACCTGGCTGATGGCCGTCTCGCTGGGCTGTGATTGGCTGTGTGCGTGAGCGTGAGCGTGTGTGTGTGTGTGTGCGTGTTGTTGAGGTTGTTGAGTATGCGCAGAGCCATCTCCTTCATTCGTACGTGTCTGTGTATGTGTCTGCGGATGTGTATATGTCTGTGTCTGTGTCTGCGTCCGTGCCTGCGTCAGCGCCTGAGCTTCTGCCGCCTTTTGCAGATGCACCCGTCGCTTCAATTCCTTGTGGTGCTGTATTCGCCTCTGTACTTCTCCCATGTCCTCAATGTTGGGCCGTTTCACAACAGTCACGCGCCTGTCCGGAATTTTCGGGGCCGGTGCAGGTGCATCCTTACGGGATTGCACCCGGATTTTTTTGGACAGGCTAGTTGCACTGGGAGCTTTCTTGGTGCTACTAGCCAGCTTGCGTTTGCGTGTCTCTGCTTCGGCTTTCTTCGCCTTCACGGGTTTGGCGACTGGACCTACGGATTATATTCACAGTACGTACGCAAAAACGTTTAACAGGCGTTCTGTGGCATTGGTTATGCAGTGGGTGTTGGTCCGCTATGCGTTAAACTATAATCCACAACAGCAAGCCGAAATGGGTTCAAATAACCCAGATATATTGCCAACGTATTGCATTGCACATACCTGATTTCTGCTGGAAGTCTTCGTTCTTGATGGTCAACAGCCCATCACTGCGTGACTTCTGATGGATTAGATCCGCTAGCTGAATGAAGCTCTTCCTGCGAACAGAGTATGGTATTCATGTGGTCAACAGCTAGCGTATGAGACTTGTGCA